AAAATAATATTTTAGTAATTTGATAGATTGTTTCATTTTTAAGTCTTAGTTTAACGTTTTATGATACAGCAATTGAAGGTTATATTCTAAGTTAATTTAACTTGATTCATGGTTTTGACTATCATAACTGAAAAATTACTTCACAAAGAAATACAGATCAAAATGGAAGAATACATCTTTGCATATTCTTAACATGTCACGACACTTAATTTTCAATCTATCATTCAGTGGTGTGATTTTTTTAATTAAAATAATATTGTCCCTCACTCCATTCATGCCTTTCCTTCCTTCTTTACACAACTCAATTCCGAGGTCTATAATGGTAACACCTCCTTTGCATAAATCTAATCACTTGCTTCTCTCTTTTTTCATTACACTCTAGTGGCAAAACCCCAACCATAAAAAACTTCCAATGCTGATTAAATCAGACTGCTCTTTGTCTTTCACAGTTGGATGTATCTGAAGTCAACACATGAACTTATCGCAAGGTCTTACTTTAAATTCTCGGCCACTACCTTCAAGCGGGATTTCAGTGTTGCTCTGGAAACACCTGCATTTCCCAAGTCCATTCACTCTCCTCTGCTGAACTATTTCACACCTTTGGCTTCTCCTTAAAAACCTCATAACTCTTACTCATTCTCACTCTCAGCTGATAACTTTGGCTCCAGGTTCCAAGAGAAAATAGAAGCAGGGATGAAAGAGGTTCCAAATCCCCCATATACCATTCACCTGCATTTGTGTCCATGGAGATTGTGTTTAACTCTTGTCACTATGGATAAATTGTCCATCCACCTATCCAAGGCCACCTATGAACTAGATCCTATCACCTCTTACCTACTCTGGGACATTGTTTCAACAACTTTCTTACCTATTATTTCTCCTCCATTTTACTGGAACATTCCTTTTTTTTTCTTTTTTTTGTTTCAGTATATTATGGGGGTACAAATATTTAGATTACATCTATTGCCTTTGCCCCACCCAAGTCAGAGCTTCAAGCATGTCCATCGCCCAGATGGTGTGCACCGCATCCATTAGTTGTGTATATACCCATCCCCTCTTCCTGCCTCCCATCTGCCTGACACAGGATGAATGTCACTACTATACGTGCACTTAAGTGTTGATCAGTTAATACCAATTTGATGGTGAGTATATGTAGTGCTGGTTTTTCCATTCTTGGGATACTTCACTTAGAAGAATGGGCTCCAGCTCTATCTGGGATAATACAAGAGGTGCTATATCACCATTGTTTCTTAAAGCTGAATAGTACTCCATGGTATACATATACCACATTTTATTAATCCACTCATATATTGATGGGCACTTGGGTTGTTTCCACATCTTTGCAATTGTGAATTGTGCTGCTATAAACATTCGAGTGCAGATGTCTTTTCTATAGAGTGTCTTTTTTTCCTAAATGGCAACAGACAAAGATGTCCTTTCACTCATATTAAAACAAACAAAAACAAAACCTAAACAACTAAAACCTCCTTGACCTTTCATTCTCATCCAGCCTCCACTCAGTTTTTCTGCTCTTTCTTATAGCAAAACTCCTTTAATTTCTCTTTTCGGATTTACTCTTAAATCCATTCTAACTAAGCTGCTGCCCCCTTAGCATCCCAGAAACTATTTTTGTCAAGAACTCCAGTGAGTACTGTGCTGCTCAGCCCATCAGTCAATTCTCTGTCCTCTTCTCACTTGACTTATCAGCACCATTTGACACCGGCTGATCATCCTTCTCCCTGAAACACTTTTTATCTGTCTTGATTTCCACATATCACACTCTGCTAGTTTCCTTTCAGCCTCACTGATCTTTCCTTCCTAGTCTCCTTAGCTGGTTCCTCCTCATTCTCTGACCTCTAGACATTGCAATGCCTCAGTACTCTTCCCTGTCTACATCCACTGCCTTGATGGTCTCATACAGTCTCAAGTTTAAAGCATCACCTATGAGCTGAATGTCCCCAGAACTCCTTAAATGACAACTTCATATATCCAACTGCCTGCTTGACACCCTTACCTGGATACCGAGTAAGCTTCACAAACATGTCCGAAACCAAACCCATGATTGTTCCCCCCGCTCGATTTACTCTTCTTAAATCTTGTCCATTTTAGTGAATAACAACTTTATTTTTCCAATTACTGAGGCCCAAAGTTTTGAAGTCTTCTTTGTCTCTTCTCATTCCCTTTCCCATATCCATGTCAGAAACTCCCGTTGGTTCTATTTTCCAATAACTTATCACCATCTCCACTGCTAGCACCTTGGTCAGAGGAACTGTGCTCTCTTGCCTAGATGAATGACTGCAATGATCTCTTAGCTGGTCTCACGACATTGGCCCTTGCCTCCCTTTAATTTATTCCCAGAGAAATACTATAAAAGGGAAACGTGCAACATCTTTAAATTCAAAAAGGCTCTTAAGCACTTTGCCACAAGGAAGCCAATAAACTTAGGATGGCACAAAAAAATGTTTGTGGTTATACCTTATTTTACCACAAAGTATTTTACAGCATTTAGTGGTTAAATACTTGTATTTGTAAAATTAACCACACTGATGGCATCTTGTAGCATGTAAATTGCAGAAAGTGGCAACAGTTTGTTGAAACTGTTTCTCAGTGTATCTCAGTTACTATATATGACATGTGGTTGTCTGAATATTATATAAGGGTAGCTTTATCAATCTGAGTTGTAAATATTTTTAGAGCTTGATTTCTTATTTTAAATAAAAGTAAACATAAATAGAAGTTCCGTGATTTTCTTCCCACATGCCAATAGAATAACTTGTACAGTCACTAGAGTGTGAAGACTACTGTTTACAGAAAACTTTTATAGCCCAAAAGGGGGAACATCCAAGATCAAATAGTTGTCCTGTGGGTAGAGGTTAGGTGATGGAATGAGGCCTTAACTTTTGCCTGAAAGACCCAAAAAAGCAGCCAGGAAGGTAAAGGATAGGCCAGGTGTGGTGGCTCATGCCTATAATCTTAGCACTTTGGGAGGCCAAGGCGGGAGGATCACTTAAGACCAGGAGTTCGAGACCAGCCTGAGCAACACAGCCAGTGCTCATCTCTATAGCCAGTCCTCGTCTCTACAAAAAATGGAAAACTTAGCCAGGTGTGGTGGCACATGCCTGTAGACACAGCTACTTGGGAGGCTGAGGAGGGAGGATCACTTGACCCCAGGAGTTTGAGGCTGAATCCTGGGCAACAAAGAGGAGACTCTGTCTCAAAAAAAAAAAAAAAAGAAAAGAAAGAAAGGTAAAGAAGAATGGAGCCAGTCATATTTAAAGGGAAGGTAAGAGAGCTAAGACGTGGCAGAGGGAAGGATTTTTTTTTTTTTTTTAATGGCTATGGAAAAGTACTTTGCCTCAGTAGTCTGAAGCTCTAAATAAATCAGTCAAAAAAAGTAGTGACACTGGCATCATCCTGATGAATTCCTTTTTTCTTTCCCCAACAGACTGCTAATGAGCCCTGTGTAGCTAAGTTTGGTGAGTAACTATTTTGCATGCCTCTTTTGACTTTCCTTTAGTTTTTAATGCAAGAAGACAGGTGCTAGTGCTTTTAAGAAAGCCTGTATTATCTTTTATTCATTTTCAGCTACTATTTATAATTACTTATCATGTGCTGGGCAGTTGTCTAGGAGTTAAGGCTTTCGGAGGTAAACCACACAGACAAGCCCATGGCTGATATGGCTCATACGGAAGACCTTATCTCTGGGCAGGAATGGACATCACTCTTACAGGCCTGGGGATCTGAGATCCAGAAACCTGCTTTTTAATTCTGTGCTTTAATAAACACAAGTTTCAGATTTCTGAAACCTTTCCTCAAACTCCTTCTCACATTTCGCATACTGCTAATATCCACCACTGTTCTTTCTGAGTGTATAGAAGAGCAATGAGAGTTGGGAGAGAGCCCACTTCCTTTACTCCTTTCTCCTCTGCTCTTAGCTTCTGAGTAATTTTCCCGTATAGTCACCTGATATTTGCTTAGAAAACAAACTGAAGTTTGCAGTTACACCGAGCCTTTGAATAGTTCTTAGAATACATATAGAACTTCAAATAAACATATTTTTGATTGTTTATAGGTTTCAGGTCAAACACATTTTCAGCAGTGAACACAACATTTCTAGAGTTAACTCTGTGTTCCTATCTATATAGCTCAAATCACCAGGTTTCCTTGGCTTATGAGAATTAGAAAATTTTTTTTACTTGTCTTTACCTTTGTGTTCTGTTTTTGCTTTTCCAGTAAATGGAATGGAATTCATGGTATGTTTGAAATTCTGCCTTGATGTGGTAAAAGTTGAGAACATGTGATGCTAAGGTGGCCTTTAAGTGACCTCTTACACATAATTAAATAGGAGAGCTAATGACACTTCTTCCTGGTGACTTGCCTATTGCCTATTACATTTCAAGGAGGAAGAAATTTACTGAGCTCTGAGCTCATTGGAGATACAAGGAGACTCTGTCTCTTGCTCTAGAGATCTCTCCTTCATTCTCCCTCATAATCTGCCTTCATAATCTATGATCAGTCATTTACATATGAATGAGAATTCAAATTAAAGTGTTAACTCTTCCAGGGTATTTTTGTATCAAGGTTTCTTTTTAATTACGGGACAAAGACTTTGCTTCCTACAACAAAAATTACCATGAATTAGAGGACAGGTAAATATTCTGGGTGGTGCAAACACCCCTTGGGGCTCTGAAATCACTCTACCATACAAAACCAATTAATGCTAGGTAAATATTTAAATTCCATATATACCCAAGGAAATGAAAATGAATGCCTCAGTCTTGACCCTTTCTTCAACCGTTTGTGCCAGTATCAAACCAGAGATATTTATATTTAAGCAGTCAAGTAATTTCCATTTTATAAACTCATGAATTTACTAGTAGCTATTCTGAAGGGTTTGGATAATGAATGATGTGTACCTACAAACTGATGAGAACAGCCATAGTTTAGACAGAAAGCATCTAATTCAGGAACATGGAAGGGTCGTTCGATCAAGAAATATTTATTGAACACCTACTAGGTACCAGCGACTCTTTTAGGTGCTAAAGATACAGCAATGAGCAAAATAGAGACACATTTGTCCTGAAAGATGTTATATTCAAGTGGATATAAGATAGACAATAAAAAAATGAACAATCTGATTTATCATATGCTAGTTGCTGACACCTTCTATGAAGAAAGTAAAGCAGGGTAGAGGGAGAGAGGGATAGGGGAGCACTTTTTTTTAAAATATAGATTGATTAGGGAAAGTCTCACTAATGGTGATACACAGTAAATAGTATTTACATAGAGAAAGCATGGAAAGGCAAGGACTGACAACCCTGGTTGTCAAAATCCTGGTTGTGTGATTCCTTTCTCCCTTCCTCCCTCCTTCCTTTTCCTTTCTTTCTTCTGCAAATATTAACTGACAAGAGATACAGAGCCACTTAACTCATTTTTCTATTCCAAATCAATTTCCTTAGAGCTCTCCAAGCAAGAGATACCCTTAGGATTTGCAACTGCTCTAAAACAAGGAGTAGATTTACTTAAAATGTTAAAATTATGGTTGAAAAGAACTAGTATGGACCTGGTAAAGAAACAACTTACAGATGGTAAAAAATTAACTACAATCTGGAAGAGGATGAACTGGATAATGAAATAACTATGCTTTCCATTTTTTTCCTCCCTTGTATATTTGTTATAGGACCGTTACCCTCAAAATGGCAAATGACAACTATTGAACCTCTCTGTGTGAATAAGTTATCTGATTGGAAGCTGGAGATACTTCAGAATGGCTTGTATTTAATTTATGGCCAAGTGGCTCCTGATGCAACCTACAAGGGTGTAGCCCCTTTTGCGGTGCAGCTATGTAAAAATGAAGACATGATACAAATTCTCACCAACAATTCTATAATCCAAAATGTAGGAGGGACTTACGAATTGCATGCTGGAGATATAATACACTTGATGTTCAACTCTGAATATCAAGTTCTAAAAAATAATACATTCTGGGGGATCGTTTTACTAGCAAATCCCCAATTCATTTCCTAGAGACTTGATTTGGTCTCTTCATCCTCTTGAGCACGTGCAGAAGTACCAGTGGGTGGGGTGGAGGGGGCAGATTTTCAATGCCTACAGTCTGTCTGGGTATACAGATCAACATAAACAGAACTCTTCCGCATGTGAATTTTCATCTCTCATGCTTATCTGAAAGAGACTCAGAAGAAGAGCAAAAGACTTTGGTTACCCCTGATGTCAGGCCTGCAATGATATTTCATTAATCAGTCATAAAGGAATAGAGGACAGAAGCTCTTCAAAGACTCATTGTCTAATCCTTGAATCCCTGGATGGAAATAAATGAAGTCCTATTCCCATGGAGGCTTTACCTTGTATGCAAAAATGACCCAGGGCAGTAGCCTGGCCTTGTTTTCAAGCTCTTGGGCTGCTTTACTTCATTCTTCCCATATTCTCATCTTCTGAGACTCTCCCAATAAAAAGCAGTCAGACTGGTGTCCCCAGATATGCCAACAACACCCTACTTTAGATGTAATGATGCTAGAAAATAGAGAACACTTGAAGAATTATTGGCATAGAGACACAGGTGGCATGAAATGGAATCTACATGATCTGGGAATTTCTCTTGGTTTCATCATACTCAAGATGCAAGGTGCTTTATAAAACTAGTTGATCGAAGGGGTCATTCTGAATCTTCACCTAGGGCTTCATGAAAACTCATTGTTTGTTTGTGTGTATAAGCATTGTTAATTGTAAAGAAAGTATAACCACCAGTAATCATTAGATTTAACTCCAGAAATTGGTATTAACATTATTATGATATTAACATGTATTATGTCATGTAATGATTTCATATTTTTAGATGGCTTTCTGTAGTTTGCAAAATGCTTTTGTATATCATGTAGCCACTCTACAAAGTTAATGAGCATGCATTTTTGGGAAAATTTTAACCCTGAGAATATGGAGCCAAATAGAGGAGAGGCAACTTGTCTCAACGCACAGAACAAGTGACTGACTAACAGGCTATGGGCTTTGCACTGTATCTCACTATCTCAGCTTTAGAATGGTTATCTCTGCTATCACATTATGAATCTGTACAACTGAGCAAGCTCAATTTTCAGGAAACATATTCCCCTTCAGCCTAAGGTGGGTAGGGTGAAGCTACAACGGATTCTGCCTTTCCTAGCAAATTTCTTTTCCTTTCCCTACCTGGAGCAGGACGCCCCATGGTGGTGCTCAGGGCTTCCCCCAACCAATCCCCTTC